TCCCGCGGATGATCAATGTTTGCACTGACAAAACGCGCTCAGGATACGGCTATCCATGGGTTATGACTATCGGGAATTTGAAGAGTTCTGCGAACCTAAAACTATCAAGAATTTTCTTTTTTCTACCAAGTAGTACCCTCAACCCAACAAATACCTTGGGAATGCGTTGACAAATGAAGAAACGCAAGTTAGCTAGAGGAAATATGGATCACGGTTCTATTGGATATTAGAACCTCAATTTCCGATTTAGGTATGGTTCGCGAAATTATGCACAGCCGGTGGGAACTGCTACGACGACTCCAGCAGGTCAAAGACAGCAACAAGAGGAACATGCTCAGCGCCGAGTGAATCCAGTTGAGCCCAGCACGGTTCGATTGCCAGATATCAGTGCCGAGATCTGTCTCACCTTTACTAATTCAGGAAATCTGTACCGAAGGTCGTCATGTCTGTACACTTCCGAATATGCGATGTCGACCAGTGGACCCGTCCTATCGCTGTGAGTGCCTGCCGGGCTATCAAGCAAAACGCGACGAGTCTTCACCACTCGGATGGAGTTGCCAAGGTGAGCTCTCAGACTCCGGTCATGCAAAAGGCGCATGTCGATCTATGCATAGATCTGAATGAATGCGAACGTGGAGATCATACATGCGATCACTACGCTGTCTGTCACAATACGGACGGATCGTTCACCTGTGAATGTCGGCCTGGTTATACAGGCGACGGTCATCACTGCACCAGTGCGTGAGCCGTGTGCTGTGACGTGTGATAATTGGAAAGCTCAGACGAGAAAATTTGTTGCAGCACTGATTGGAGACGAATCTGAAATGGACGTGGACACGACGATGGATGCAGTCGCACTTACAGAACCACTAAGAGAGACTGAACCACAGCAACGTTTAAAGCCGATTGATTCTGAACCTCGTCCTCAGCTACCTAAGGTTAGCAATTTCTGGGAATTAAGGATTAGTCAGAAGTCAAACTTTAACTTATGTCTTCTGAGTTCCCAATATTAATTCGAGTATTTGAATTAATTTGAAGGTGTTAAGTAATTTGTTTCTTAGTCTGCAAACTTGCAATGTGTCTGATTTATCTCCTAGTACTTAACAATTAGAATGAATCACTGCTTCGTGCATAGCACTTCCAAAATGAAGTCTTTAACATTATGACAC